TAGGTATACATGAGTGTAAGTTATATGTAAATTCGATAGCGTAATGTTTTCAATCTTATTTAATTTTTAGGCTATTAAAATGTAATCGAAAGTTTTTACATCACATCGCACGATTTTTTTATTAACGCGAAGTGAAATCATTAATATTATTTTTCTGTGATATGAAATATGTCGCGATATTTTTAAGAATTATATTAATCTTTATTAATAACTCTATTATTAACGATGTGTTAATAAGTCGATAACAATTTTTATTCCGAAAACAAACAATGAATTCAAAGCAGGAAATGGAATCACAAGTCCAAGAAGGAAGAAAAATTGAAGGAGCTTTAAGTTTGGGATCGACTCAAAGCATTTGAAATAAATTTAATTAAAATCAAAATTCAAGCTTTAATAAAAAGAGAAGGGGAGAAAACAAAATAAAAAAGCTTTTAATATGTGAGAACTAAGGACCATCGCATACAAATTGACATGGCTGCATATACACAACATAAAACGGGAAGCACACACTTTTGCATAAACGCATAAGCATATGCATAAGAAATTTGATTGGTTGAATTTCTTATGCATACATTTATAGACCAATCAAAATTCTTATGCTTACGCTTATGCGCCTATGCAAAAGTGTGTGTTCACTGGGCAAACCTGACTGGGCAAATGAGCATCGAACATAAAGTCTCCATATTGATTTAATATGCCCATTGTTCCAAACAATTTTATGTTATGCATATGCAGCTATATCAATTTGTATGTGATAGTCTTAAGAGTTACTTGTTTCGCAGTTTTACTCTAACAAAAGATTCGAACGGATGAAAAAGAACAATCATTATGTAAATAAAAACAATATTATTCCGCTCTTGACAATTTTCCATCATGAGATATAGTTTAATTGATTTTATTTGTATTTTATTTTTTCGCATTTTTAATTCGCTTCTCCGATAAATATAGAAAACGGTAATTAATTTTTTCTTAATTTTCTTAAAAAATAAGAATTTTATTATTTTTCTTATGTAGATGTCGCGACAAATCTACTATACAGAAATTTCGATTATTTGCACTAAAATGAATTATTCAAAGAATTTCGGAAATGTGTGAGCATATCCTTGTAACATAGTTAAAAGTACAAAAAGAATACAAATATATATATATATATATATATATATGTATATATATATACAAATATACATACACACACACATATATATATATATAGTATATATATATATAAATACTTTAAACTTTAACACTGAATTGTAATAACAGGTAAATCACACGTGTTATATACAGATATGCGATATATTGTAATATGACAATATGTGTCGAATCTACAAAATGCAAGATGCTTAGCTACTTGTCAATCTAAAAAGGGAAACGGAGTGGATGTGAATCAACATATATTCTAAAACCATTATTTTAGATGATAATATCACATAAGCAAATATATATGTGTATAGATACATAACATATGGCATATTATCTGCCAAACATTTATTACGAATAGAACGAGCCCGTATTTACTTATGCTAATCGAACAAATAACAGCGAGATGTGTGCATATGCGTGTATATCTGTGTAAATGTCTATAATAATCCATATTCGCACTCATCTTTTAAAATGACAGTTTCATTTTTATATTATTTTTAAAAAATTCTAAAGCGACTGTGCTGCACAAACCTCAAACTGCTATTCTATTACTTTTTGTAATAATATGTAATAAACTTTTTATATTTACATTTTTATCGCCTGTCTTATACTTCAAATTTAAATTTTTATATTTGGTTATATAAAAATATAAAACAAATTGCATAAATAATTTTTTTTTATATTTTTTAGTAATTCATATATGTCATATAATTTCATTTATTAATACCTATTTACCCAGATAGCCACAGTAATTATTATGACATCAAAATGATGTCATAATAATTACTGTGGCTATCTGGGTATTAGTACGTTTTTTTTAGTAACAATATGATTTATTTCAGTTTTTTTAGAAAGAATAGAAGGTCCTTTATGTAATATTACAATATTATTGCATAAATTAATGGTAGACAAATCTAATAAATAATTTTATTACGAAAAATAAAAAATATTATTAGGATGAATAGAGTCAAAAAACGTAATTTTTTGCTCTTAATTTAGAGCTACGCCTGATGTATCATTTTTCTAAAATGTTATTATAACAAGATTTAAAGGAAAATATTGATGTAATTAAATCAACTTTTTATAAATAAATATAATTTCTTGAACGATAAAATTTGCTGATAAATAGATTTAGATGTACGCAATTCTATGATTTGAATGTTATTAATGAGCTCTCAGAAATCGACTCCTATATTATTGCAATATGTTTACAATATCCATGATATAATGAATGATCAAATACATACGATAAGTAAGAAAATAAAATTTTGGCAATGATGATTTATTTAATTTGTTTCGAATGATTGTTTGCCTGGTTTGTATCGAATAACGGCATGATAACAGTGATGATTAAATGAAAGGGAAAACTGCTTGAGTGCATTGTGACGACAATTTGAATTACCCAGAATCTTCTTACGATAAATACGCACATAAGGAAAAAAGTTTCGCTATATACTTGCTTAATCGCAAAATATATATTTTTTAAAAATCCCTTCGCTATTTTAAACATGCCTGTAGATTTGGAGGCAAGAAATATGAAATATTTATTTTTTGCTTCTTTTTCTTTTATGTGGTACAGACCGTGACCTACCCTCTACATACATGTATATTGAGATCTGACATATGGGCGGAAACGCATACGTCAACATGGCGCCGAGAAGCTCATGTTTAATATAGTGTCATTATGACACAATGTGATATTTTATTTATTATGTTTATTAATATGCAAAGCATTTATTGGGTTGGTACAAATCCCAAAGAAAATTCATTGAAGATGAACCGATATTTGAAACAGGGCACATAATATTTAATTATAATATACAGAGTGTCCCGCAACGTGATGTCCACAGTAAAACTTTGTATTCTTGGGATCATTCAATGTATGCTTTACTTTACCGCACAAGTGCGAGAAAAATACTTTTATGATTTACATTACTGCACAGTTTATAAAGTATATAATATATTATCGTTCAATAAATAAAATTATTATCTTCAATAAATAATACTTATTTTATTATATGCAATTTTGTTTTTTTGCTATAACTGTAAAACAATCGACTTTAGAGCATATGTGTATTAAGACTTTTTGATTTAAAATGATCCCAATACAAAGTTTCACTGTGGACATCACGTTGCGGGACACCCTGTATATAATATATATAGTATAAAATTATTATCTTCAATAAATAATACTTATCTTATTATATGTAATTTTGTCTTTTCGCTATAACTGTAAAACAATCGACTTTAGGGTACATATATATTAAGACTTTTTGACTTAGAATGATCCCAATACAAAGTTTCACTGTGGACATCACGTTGCGGGACACCCTGTATATAATATATATAGTATATATAATATATATAGTATATATATAATATTATATAATATACCTATAATATAACTTATATAATATATATAACTTTTAGAACGTAGAGAAAATATCCCGCAATCCATAATAATAATTAATTAATTCATAAAAAAACCTGATTACTGACAATGAGCTTCTACTGCTTTTATTTCTCGCCACCAGATGTCATGACTACAGATGTCAGATCCCAATACATATTTGCAATGTGCACCTTTTTATAGTTTTTACACGGATATACAATTTTGGGACCTACAGTTTTATATTGGTTCCAAAAGGCCAGATTGAAGTGATTCTCGTGGCAAAAAATTGGTAGTAGTTCGCCGTTTTCTGCCGACAGATGATGATTGAATAGACTCAAGATGTGTTTTTAGTCAGATTTGAATTCAGATCCTCAGACATAAAAAGAAAAACGCACATTCACTGTATCACAATAGAACACTTCATTTTTTATTATAAATTTGTAATTATTATTTTGTACTATTTTACATAGACATGAAAAATGTGTAATATGTCATAATTATATATTACTTTTTCATCAGTAACTTTAACAAGATTCAGTATAACGAAAGAATTTAAAATTATTTATCTCTATAACTTTATCAGTAACTTTAACAAGATTCAGTATAACGAAAGGATTCAAAATTATTTATCTCTATAACGAGAGTCACGTATATTCAATATAAACATCTATTATAATAATAAGATTCTGTTTTCTGGGTAACACAGTCTTTGCAGGACATAAAGTGCGAGCCATATGCATCGATATCTATATGAGATAGATAGGGGCTATACGAAATATGTAGATGGGAAACATCATATTATGATAACCAATGTGCCGAACGAGCGAAGATGAAACGCGATTATTCGCTTAAGTGCCTAATTAACTATGAACTTGCATCGACGATGATTTTTAGAGAATTGACATGATATGTTGATCATTGACGCATTGTTATATGATTTTCTAATTTCCTGTTCAACCTCGCTCCTTCGATAATCTAACGTCAACGAAAGGACTCTATATCTTTGTACATGAGCAAAAATATATATACAAGTGCTTCATTTTGCAATCATTTCCATGAAAGAAAATAATGCTCAAACACAATTTGGTGGTGCATAAAATTGTTTATATTTATTTTAATTTACGTAACTATATATACTAAATAAAATTGATGATGAAATACAACTTGTTCTTGACAGTGACAAATTTAATAGTAAAAATATTGTGTACACGACTGCACGATGAAGCATTTCTCTTTAAAAAAAATAAGCGAAAGGCAGATAAACAGATCCTCTATAGAAAAATGCAAGAGAATGCAAGAGAAATCAAGGATGGGAGGACGTTTTGTTGCATGGCTCGGATTATAAAAAGGATCGTTGAATTCGTATATATTGATACACGGGAAAACGTCAAATTTAACAAAAAAATATAAAAGTACTGTCTGTCGTGGACCGTATAGAGCGCTGAAGAGGGCCGGAGGTACTTACCCTGTGTATCATACTTACTGGAAAAATTTCGCGTTGCCAGCATGGTCGTCAATATAGCGCCCTGCAAGTGAGAAAGAAAAATGATTGCTATCATGCAACATCAAATAAAAAAGTAATAAGCCCGTGATAACGGCGCAAATTTGTATTCCCTTGCCAACAAATATAAAATATTTCTGTTTCCATTTACAGTGATGCTAGAGTTGACTCTGTAAAAATTTGTCGACAAAATGTTACTTGTAATTTTATTTTTATTTTTATTACTTTTATATATGTATGTATGTATATATATATATATATATATATATATATATTAAAAATTTTATGTACAATATCCGGGAACTTATTTATTATTCTTTTTTATGTTTATTACTTCAATATTCTATATATTTTACATAAATCTTTTTGTTATTTTTAAGGCTAAACCTCTAAATAACTTAATTTTAAAGGTTTCCTGTCATTCTTTTACATGCCCTCCTTGCCCTTCTAAGCTTATTTTGTATTTTTGTAAACTGTATAACTTTAATATAAAATAAATATTTATATCAACTGACAGCTTGTCGGTTTTTCGAAATTTTTCTTTTTTTAATCAAAGCTGACCGTCCATGTTTTTATTAACATATGCACTTTAATCCCTGAAAACAATTTTTAATTTTATAAAAGCAATAAAAAATAATCATAAAATTACAAAATTAACATTTCGTCGGTAAAATAGAATAGGTTCCAGCATCACCTTAAGTGCACTCAAGAATAAATCCATTATAATTTATAATTTATAACATAATTTTATACAAAATATATATAAATTAAAGTCACAGTGATCCATACTGTATAAATTTTTGTAAATAATTATAGTCCCAAAGATTCATAAAAATTTGAATAATTAACATATATTAATAATGAATAATTAACATATTAATTTCTTAATAAATATTTAAAACAGAATTTTTTTAACAACAAAGTTTATATTTGTGAAATTAAAAATTAAGACCTTTATTCTCAACATACTTTTATAAATAAAAGCACTTTTACCGATAAAAGTGGTTTGAGAATATTGATTTAAGAAAATATACAAACTATTAATTATTGCAACAAAACTTATAATATTCAAAAATAATTGTATTATTTAAATATACTAGTACTCCTCTCCTTATAAAAACGTAGTAAAAGCATATTAAAAGAGACCAATAAAAAATTTCACGCTGTTGAGTCATCAAATACGCTTAGTTTTTTAAAATCTTAACTTCATATAATCACTCTTAACTTCATATAATCAATTAAATTGAAAATCTAATGAGAAGAACAAATTTTATTCTCGTATATATTTCTCGAATTTTCGGCGTATTTCGATAACGACAAATGAACAATGTGTCATGTGGCAATAAAAAGTGGTACTGCGTCTCGCTCTTATAAATTACATGTGCGAGTGTGCAGCAATTGCAATTGTAAATCGTACTGCTTCGATTGTTTAATACTCGGTGACTTATCAAACGACATGACCGTAAATAAAATAGTGTTCATAGATAGAGAGACATTATCGGTTCTTAACAGAAGCCGTTATCACTAACCAAAGCTGCAAAAGGTTTATGTGCTAGAAAACTGCATCATGAATCGGCTGTATGAAAATAATTTTCCTTGATAACTTTTACAAGAACTATTCATATTTATCATATATTTTTTATAAATTATTTAGAAATTCCGTAAATCACTCGAATATTAAAAATTTAACTAAAACAAATTGTTGATTATTTTACATTAATATTATATGTTATTATATTTTTTGACTACCACATCATCGAAAATAGTATGCTTTCTCTCATATATAACAATTTAAAAATTTATAATTTAAAGTAAAAAGTATGCATTTTTTATTTAAAATGTATGTCGATTTTATGTTAAACAACATAATCACAAAAAATTTGATTTATTTTCTTTTTAATATGATATATGTATACTAATATGTATTTTTGAGAATTGATTTTTCTTATTCGATAATGACTCTCGAGAAAGGATCGATAAATGAATTAAAGTGAAAATTAATTACTGCTGATGAACACGCGTTGTATTGTTCTAATTTCATGGATATTAGTAATATGCACATATTGCACCGCACGAACGGTATCTAAATCGCAAAGCGAATAAATAGTACATGATAAGCGGACATAATGAATTTTGCATCTGTAAAGTCGAGGATAATATATAAGATTTTGCAGTCGCAGTTAGAATGAGAATGTGCGCAATTACAGTCATAATATCTTTCCATATGATCGCATTCTCCAAAATTAGCAGTTGATTCTCGCAAATCAAATAATAAATTTCAATCTTTTGACATCAAAAGCTATATGCAATATATTTTCCAAATATGAGTCACTCGTAAATGTTAAATTCAATTTATTTCGTAATTTAACGATTCTTCGAGATATTTAACTTAAATGTAATCTTTTTCAATATTAATTAAATAATAAATATATCTTTTTTAATATTAATTAAATATTAAATAATAAATATAAATTGACAATTTTCTTTTTTAAATAAAAAATAAAAAAATTTATACATTTCTTTCAAGAAACAAAAAACATTTTTTATATTTAAAAAACTTAAGATCTTATAATTCTTAATGTTATAATTTTTATTTAAAATTTTATTTTATAATATCTGCGAAAAAAGTTATATAACATATGTATATATATATATATATATATATATATATATATATATGTGTGTGTGTATTCATATTTATAATTATATAATATTTTTATTTATTATATAATAATTAAATTTTTTGAAAGAATCTAGTTATTTCAATATTAATCTAATTATTTAAATAAAAAATAAACAAACTGCGAAATCATGACGAGAAATCACAAAATTGTATATCTTTCAATCATGTATATTTAAATTAAAAATGTAAATACATATAAATTAATATACAATGGAATAAAACTTTCTAAAAGAAAGAAACTCACCTTTAATTTGCGCCTTGCATTGAATTTCTTCAAGCAGTCCACGGTCTCTTGTCTGTGCACAACAGACGCAACACGTTCACGTTGCTAAAACACAAAATAAATGAAAATACATTAGACATCGTTTCCTGAGAAAACAATTAAATCAAATCGCCTAAAATTAGATCTTATATACTTTAAAAATATTATATTTATTGTATATATAATATATTTAATACATAAAAATGTGTTGAAAAAAGAATTTATTCATAAAACATTTATTTGTGCCTTGTATGTATATGTATATACAAGGTGATGCAAATATTCCGGAATAATTTAATATTTTTTATATAATGCATTTACAAAAAAAGTTTTCTATCAAAATTATGAAGTATATAAAATTTACGTCAAATTTAATGCTGAAGTCGACTTGATTTATGTTTGCTATAAACTTAAAATTTAAAATGATATTTATATATACATAAACAAATACACATAAAAAAAATATTTGAATATTTAAAAAAAAATCCAAGCATCCTAAATATTATTCACTAGACGGAAAAGAAAAAGTGCTAAAATACTAAATAAATATTTTGAAACTACACTTTTTTCAAAAATGCATTGTTTACAAGGTAATCAGTCCTCCTGCAAATTTTCATGTATCCACTGAATTGAAATAATTATTTTAAATATCTCAAAAAAATATTTATCAAAGAAGAAAATGTTTTGGACAAAAATTGTTTATTTTTTTATATTCTTTCCAAAGAAGTGTCACTTGAGTACTCGTTCTATTTTTTATCAATTACGATTGTTTATCAATCCATAAATATACTTCAAGAGGGAAAGGGACACAATAAATTAGAATAACATCATTAATTATCTTTTGAAATCTTACAACTTTTACGGAAAACTTTTTCTTCAAAAATTGTTTTGGAACATTTGCACACCACCTTTTATAAATATATGCACATGTAAATGTTTCACAACATTTCTGTATAATATTTTGATAGTATTGATTTGCATTCTAAAGTAAAAGTCTTAAAAATACAAAAGTATCAAGGTTATCAGTTTTTGAAGTATAAGCGATCAAAATTTATTAATGATATTATAAAATTCGCACGCTTAGACTCGTAACTACATATATTTATATTTTATCGATCTGTAATTTATTATTGCTTTTAAAAGACAAATAATAAATTTAATTTCTATGTATACTTTCTTAATCAAAACAAAATAGAATCTCGTTTTTAAATGTGTAAACATATTAATTTATAATTTTATTTAAATATAACAATTAATCAACTATTTGAATTATTAATTTATTTAATTAAATGTTTAGAAAGAATTGAATATTTTGCGTATAACAATTATAACTCGTTATATTAGCTAACTACTGTACATAGTTAATTAATACACATACATAAGAAATCAGTAGGATGATACAATTTTATATCATCTAATTAAAATCATTAACAGATGACAGATCAGTATCTACGCTTAGTCTCAATCTTTTCGTATTAGAATTTTTTACTCCATTTTATTCCAGAATAACTAAAATACTGTAGTTGATATTTAAACTATCCCATAAGATTCTTAAACATGCTAATAACTTGAAAATTACATATTATGGAAAAAATATTTCAAACAAAAGTTTTTTAAGATTTCAAGAGTAATTTTTAAGGATCAAGGAAAACGTAATTTCCTTTATCAATCTAGTAACGTAAATAATGTATATCTAAGTAGTTCCTAACAATACAAGTGTTTTGTGTGAAAACATCGTCATGCTGCAATCACAGCAAGCTCTGCCTCTGCTTTGTATACAAATCGATATTTTCTAAGAGCATCGCTAGTTAATATTCAAAAAAATGTAAATAAGCTTGGCCATTAACATTTCCTTCGTAAAGTGAATAAATTTACGATACTGCCATTGATAATATCATATCGTAAATTAAGATTTTAACGCTATTAATAGTGGTCAGTTTATTAAAATCAATAAGAGTTTTCGAAAATAATAAGAATTAATAACGAGAATTTTGATTTAATATTCCAATATCATTAGACAATTGCGTAATTGCTGAAGAGCATGTAATTAAAAAAGATTGAAATTGTTTGATATAAACTTACATGTTTGTCAAATAAGAATATTTGTTGAATAGTTGTTAATAAATATGAATAGGCAAATGCTGAACTTGTGTATTCATATAAGTAAAATCATACAGCTCCAAAAAATTACCAGATCTCTTTCCGATAGATTTTATGGCAGCTATATAAAAAAATAGTCTTGTTTGCAACAATGACTAATGATCTCTCCACTATAAATACATCCCTCTTTACAACTGAGGAATGCAAATATATAATTACTTATAAAATTAATTCTCATAGTACTCAAATTTTAAGGATTTATAACTTGAAGATTTTTTGATAAAAAATTATTTTGTTTGCTTCATTTTAAAAATTTCCAATATTAGCTATAAGGACATATAATAAGAAAATAAGGATTTTCAATTAAAAAATGTTAACTAATCTTGCCAATGGACTCCATAGCGCATTTACCTCATATCAATATTTTCATATATCCTCCTTGAAATCCTAAAAAATTCTCCAAAACATTCTGGATAACATGTTTCCGAGTTATTAGTGTGTCAAATTTAAAGTAGGACATTCTGTATATAAAAGTGTCTTGCCTATATAAAACTTGTAAAATTATAATTTGTACATTACTTTATCTAGATATTATAGAAACATTTATAATTTAGTTAGATTTCTGTATGAGAATTAAATAAAAATTAATCATAACAAAGAGACTAGCATTACTGTCTAGTTTATTACTTTTTTATGTAATATAAATATATATTATGTCGATTAAGATTAACTTACGCAAATCCATGGATGTTTCAATGCCTCGCTGGCAGTAATTCTTTTTCCTGGATTTACTGTTAGCATCTGATTGATAAGATTCTTGGCTTCTGGCGTGACGGTGTCCCATTCTGGACTCGGATACTGCACAAATAAGCATAAAAGCAATATTAATACGAGATATTTTTACATACTTATATATAAATAATTACAAGAAAACTATAATGTCAAATAAATATAATATATATTATTATATTAAACCTCTTTTGCACAACACATTTTTCTTTTTTTTCTTATAGCACTTCTTATCAAGCTTTCGGATAAAATGTTTTAGTCTAGAGATTTAAAAAATTTATGATTATGCAGATAATACGTACATCGTATGATCCAGCCTTGATCTGCCCATAAAGTCGATGCTGGTCCTCGTCCCAAAACGGCGGGTAGCCAACAAGAAGAATGTATAGGATAACACCGCACGCCCATATATCGACTGCTTTCCCATAAGGTTCTTTCTTTAGCACTTCCGGACTGAGGTAACCGGGTGTTCCAGCGAAACCTTTTTTACCAATCATTCGGATTCATTTACTCTCCAAAAATATACAAAAATTAAAAGGATCAGGGCGTTACGTGCGCGAAACGTTTTTGGATATTACTACTTTTTGTCTAAACTAACTTTCTCTTATTTAAAAGGCAAACATAACTATCAAAAAATTTTTATCGCAATTAAAATATTAAAAAATTAATAATAAACTTGATTTATCAATATAAGACATCATTTTTCTCGATTACATCTAACTCATTAATATGCGACAAAAGCTGATAACTATATTATTTTGGTAATTAATAATACTTCTGTAATACTGCGATTTTCATCTCAAAATTTTTGTAAAACAAATTAAAAAATGCAATATAAGACAATAACGGAAGAAAAGTAAAAGGAAAATAAAAATTTCGTAATTAATAGCCACACGAAAAATTAAATCGTATAGTCATCAGCATTATTAAAATTTTTATGATTCTTTGTCACACGTATAATTAATTGTAGATAGCATGCGCCATTACGTAAGCATTATGGTTGCAATCGAAACGCGGTCGCTTTGGTGCAGCAGAAGTACCGGTCGAGTAATTAAACGTCTATGTCCTATTACGCCAGCAGTTAAATATCTCGACCATTTTGCTATTTATTCGCTTCATACCTTTCCCATATATATATATAAAAATCTATGACAATTTTTAACTTCTCAATGTGAAAACTTAAAATTTTCTTGATAAAATCGTTTTTCAAAAATTTTTTATTACTGAGTTATCACGAATTAAGTATAATAAAAAATGAGCATTTTAACTTTGATTATTCATAATTTCGTTAAAAATCCACAATTCGAGAAACAGATTCTTAAGATTGAAACTTTGCTCGAATAGTATAATTGCTAAATTTGTTTAAAAACATGTAAATATAATTAAAATGAATGAAAATAATATAAAAATTTACGATTTTTTTCATTTTTATATTGATCCAGAAAACAATTATAAAGAACAACAATAAAAATTTATTCTTCATGTTTTTTTGTACTTTTAGTAATCCGCATTTTAAAAAATTTACCGAATAGCTATACATTTTTTTATAGTAGCCACTATAATTTTTTGATGTAAAATGTAATAATAAAAATGGTGAAATTGCTTAATTTCATTGAAAAATAAAGGTCAATAAACATTAAAAAATTGATTTCCAGTATACTGATACTATGTACATTAATCTTTACTAATTAATTAATGCAAAGAATTTGAAAGATTCGACAATTTTGCGTCTTAATAAATCTAACACAAAACATTAACAATGAAGCTAAAATAAGGATTGTTCATTTTCAAGTTATTACTATCTCAAATAAATAGTCAATAATTATTACAAGGCGTAATTATTAGCCATAATAACTAATCTTTCATAATAGCTCTTATGGAAAGGAACGATCCGAATCTTCGTGTTAATTAAAATTCAAATATCACCGTGTATCAAAGCATCATCAACGCACGCTCTTCTGTTCACAGGGATCGTCCGCAGTAGCATTACGTCGCCATCAACAATATAAACTGAAATTTCGATGATTAATTCATTAGGAAAATCGGATCCCACTTACCATACCATGCTTGTGCTTCACCCTGCACCTCGATTGCCAGACCAAAATCCGCTAATTTCACAGCCGCCCCTTTCGCCTTGCTCGCGAGAAGTAAATTTTCGGGCTACAATAAAAATTACAGATTTGTCGCCATTGTCAAACCTTTCCTCTTCTCCTCTTATAATATATGTGATTTTTTTTATCTTTATATGCGGATTAAAATCTTCATTAAAATTAAAATTAAATGTGAAATTTTGTAATGTGATTTTCTTGACATTGAAACTGATTGTAATGTTATATGTAATTTTTTTCGTTTGCCGAGATTGAAATTGAAAATGCGACTCTGTAAATTAATTATTTAATTCTGAAAGTAGAGATGTTGACATGTGGCCTCACATGGAAAATCACTACTACTAAGCGAAAGGTTCGAATCCGATTCGATCTTAAACACTCTATTTGCCTCATAAAAGGTTTTTAAAAAAGGATTTATGAAAGAAGAGAAGAAGGAGAAAAAATAGTTGAAGAGTGAAAAGGAGGAAGAGGAGGAAGAAGGGGAAGATGAGAGAAAGAAGGAAAAAAGGTATATAGTCGTAATGTCGCTTATGGCTAGATTTGAAAAAGTTAAAGAATTATTATAAAAGGTTCGGATCCTTGCAAAAAAGCATCTTTGTAACTCTAAAGAGATCAAATAAACGCTATATTGTTATTATTTTTAAAGAATACGTCGTGTTGTTAATTATCTAGGTTTCGAACGTGAGAAATCCCATAAAAATCATAGAAAATGGACAAAACATTGTACAAATGTGGAAAAATAAACTACGCGAAAGCTTGCTTGATCTATTTCAACGTCGGCTCTGGAAGCGCGCATAGGTCCCGTTTATTAAATTCCTCTTTTTCTCTACATACTTTCAGATCTCGGTGCACGACTCCGTTATGATGGCAGTGGTGAACGCTTTCCAAAATTTGTTGAATACAGTGTGAGGCGTCAGCTTCGCTGTAGAATTCTCGAGCGACGATGTCCTCGAATAGTTCTCCGCCGGTGACTCTGTAAGTGTTTTACGTTTTAATTATATTTCACTAAAATGTGCTGTGTGGAAAATTGCAGAGTAGCAGAACGTTTAATTTCAGAAATAAAATAGAGAAAAAATTTGCGTAAATAGTAACGTGAACTTGTTTTCAAAAAACCGCTTATATTTGAACAACTCTTATAAAAAGAATCAATACTTTCTGTAACATAATATGTATACGTAAGTAAAAATAGTGTAATAAAATATTTGACTTCATAACATATAGAAATAACTATATTGTATCAAAATATGGAAATATTGCGCAATCGAATAAAATATCTTTAAAAAAATATGTATCGCTTATCTATCTATATTCTTATATACACATATATATATATATATATATATATATATATATATGAAGATTTAGTGATTACATGAGATTCTTCAAAATAATTATTTATTCATTTAATGATAATTCTGCTCGTATTCCAATTTCGAAGTCTAGTGAACGTTCCGAAAGGACAGATTCAGAGTTAAATTTAAATACGAGAAATCAAATGCTACAACTAACGATAAACCTCTAGCAATTTTGCAAAATGTTATAAGAAATCTATATAAAGGCCTTTCAAAAGTAATTCAACAAAATGATATAAATAAAATTTCGGTTCAGAAAATCCTAAAAATAAATAGTTGAGTATCTTTGGCTTGTTCAGGAATTATTAGAGAATGATTTTGATAGAAAAGTTGAATTTTTAATTAAATAAGTTTGATAACAACTTGTTGATAATAATCAATTTTTAAATTAGATTTGTTTTTCTGCAGCTACTTTTGTATTAAATAAACATGTTAATTGTCATAATTGCAGATATTAAATTGATAAAAATCCCAGGGTTGGGAAGTAACGAGTTACTTGTAACGAAGTTACAGCTACAATTACTTTTTTTCGGTAACTATAACTTAACTTCGTTACTTTTCTCCATCTGTAACTGTAACTGTAACTTAGTTACATTTTTTTAGTAACTAGTAACTATTTTAATAGTTACTTTATTAGTTACTTTTTTTGGAAACATGCGCTAAAAGTATTGTTTAAGTATGGTAGCCGTTATATTATTAAATTAAATTTTGATAACAGTAGCATATGGATCTTCATATGATTTAATCTTTTACCTAAAATTTTCATTTTGTGTACATAAAATAATATAACACATAATTAAGATCGACCAATCACAGTCAAATATTTAAAAAAATTCTTAAAGGTAATAATTGATCGATTTGCTTGCGACTTTGCGATTACCATTTAGTAACTTACTATAACTATTTTTACTGTTGTATATAAAGGTCATTCATACATTGATGTTAATTGCAAAGTCGCAAGCAAATCGATCAATATTACATTCAAGAATTTTTTAAATACTTGACTGTAATTGTGCATAAAATGTAAGCTCCTTATATTTAAAACAATGTATAATTATTTTTAAAAAGTAACTGAAAAGTAACGACTCGTTACTTTTAGAGTAACTGTAACTGTAACGAGTTATTTTTTAAAATCGGTAACTTGTAACTGTAACTAGTTACTTTTTCAATGAAATAACTGTAACTGTAACTAGTTACTTTTACAAAGTAACTTTCCCAACCCTGAAAAATCCTCACTGGATGAGAAATCATACGCAGCATTTTTAGAAGATAACTGTTTAGGCTGGATTATTGGTTTCCATACTTAAGTCGAATGGACTCTCTACAATTTCTTTTTTTCACTCAATACTATATCTCGACTTTAAAAAAAATTAATTTAAAGAAATAAACCAAGAAATCTGATAACCAAGTTTCAACAATTTTGAAATTCTAACTTCAATAAAAGATATAATGCAAGATGTTAATTTTAACTAATAAATAAACATTTTAACGAAACGATGGTGTTAGAACTGAAGGCAGTGAGTTTGAAACTAAAATCACTTTATGATTTAATCCGATATGATATAGTTTAATACAAGATCCAATTACGATGAAACTATATATCATTCAGGTAAAAATGCCACTGATATTCAGATTCTAAACTCTTAAGTCAATCGCCTAAAAAGTAGTCTTAGAATACCCAAACTAATATTTTCTTAATAAAATGTCATAGAAACCAAACAGTAATTAATTAGTAATAAAAGGACAAATATGTCTCTCAATGAAAAATAAATTTTAAACCTACACATGCGTTTGCCTGACAGATCAATCTTATATATCTGCGTTGCGCTGAAATTTAGAGAATATTAAAAGTGTCAATCCTATATGATTGCCGCTCCGTACCCTATAACTCTTCAATGGTTAAAAACTATTTCATTAAACAAAAGTTCCACCTTAAAAATTTTTAAACCATTCATTTTTTAAACGTGCGACTCTCGATTTATAGAAAGTTCTTATTGAAACATTGATTCGTTGAACTTTTTTACGTATTTAATGGAAGAGCCGCATGCAATGACCAAAGATATATGCAAAGTACTCTTCAGAACAGAAATTCAGACAATAATCACAGTCGGATATGCATTATCATTATTATTAGACGCAACAGTCTTTTCATTACTATACCACACTTCTGAGCATCTAATCTATTTCGATCTGACTTAAAATACTGTATAGCCTCTCTTGGGTATCCTCTCTTGCGTCATGCAATTGTGCTATTTATTCAAAATTTAATGTCTCAAATGAAAATGTTCTTATAACTTATTTGTACATTGTGAGTAATATTTATTCAATTTCTTTAGCCACCAGCTCTACAGAGTAATTGTAAATTAACATTTGCTGATCCCCAGTTACTGTCGTTTCATCTGTGCTTGCATTAAGATATATTCTATTATAATATATGTATAGTGCTTAATTTCTATTAGTCTTTTGACTGAGGTTAAATTTCATGCTTTTACAATTATTTGCTGCGCTTCTGTTACTCTTTTAATTTCCTCTACATCACTTTTTGTAGGGTTCAATTATTTATATTGACAACTAGTAGATCCATAGAATTTTTCCATTAATTACCTCTTTATCACTTGCAAGGTTCAGTTGTTTATACTAGTAAACCCGTGAGCATTTCCTTTTTAAATTTTCGCCCTACTCTATCTTTTACCTTTTTATTGTCTATTTTTTACTATTTATTTGCGGAATACTACAAAAGAATAAAGAAATCACGTATGCAAAAATATATAAAGAATCATCGAAACAGCCAAATAAAATTTATGTCGTTTATGTTTGACAAATACAGTTATTAAACTTATTGTTAAACGCATACTTTGACAATTACACCTATGCAATTTAAATTTAAACCTACAATTTTAATTTTAATTTAATATATGTATATGCGAGCGGCGACTTATACATTTTTTATTATCCTTGGTAATAAGGATGTCTTGTATAATAAAAATTTACATCAGATGAGAGAAAAAAATATTCCCAGATTTAGACAAGAATATTCAAGAAACCTTATAGAAGGACGATGACACCTTACTTTCAGTAAAAAATTAGGAGATTTCGGACATAAAAATATGTGTGAAAATTGGGAAAACTAAAAGACGCAATTTATCAAAAAAATCATCAATCTTTAAAAATTCGAGATCTTTAAAACCCCACGAGACCATCAATAAAGACCATAGAAATCTTATAGTCAAAAAGACGCCGAAAAAATCAGACATCGCAGAATTCCAAACAATCATCATTTAGGATAAAGTATCAATAAAAAAAGGAAAATTTCGTTGACAAGCTAGACTAATTTAAACAACTAGAAAAGCAACAATAAGAATAAAATTATTATCAAGGCCATAGAGAATTATAAAATTCTTTTCTATATACTCCAATAGAATCCTTGTTCAAACAGTTAGATTCAAGATCAATATAGAAAATAGAGTTACCTAAGAAAGAAGTGAAAAGTTTCAGGATCAATTAGACCATGCGTTCCAACATAAGAATAATATATGTCTCACCAATCTTTCTAATTAATAAATCAGAAGAAAGCTTTATTTATAATAATTAATCTAAATCGGCTAAATTAATCTAAATAAATTTGTAGATACACCACACTTCAAATTTAAAAACCTAAGAGTGGCAGCTAACATCAAATTATTTGATGCATGTTATATGAGTCATATAGACTTAAAAGACACTTTGACGATATCAATTACGAGAGTTATAAAAAATACTTTCATTTTGATCTAAAGAAAGAGCTCTACGAGTTCATCTGTTTACCATTTGAACTCAACTCGAACCTCTTTGTTTTTACAAAAATCATGCGTTCGGCTGTGAGCTATCTCCGGAACAAAATATACTCGATAATATAGTTTAGTAATTTCCTGATTTTAGGCTATTCCTATGAAGCCTGCAAAAATTCAAAAATAGTGATAAACAATATAATACAGTAATTGGGGGTCTTACAATGATTACAGGGAGGTATTACAATTCGAGAAAAGTACAATAAAAATTCCAGCAAAAAATGTGAATTTCTAAGCTTTATTTTGTTTTTTCTATGTAACATTAAATACCACAAGATAAACGAGCAAGCTGATGAATATCCAGGAGGATATCTAGAAGACTTAAGATGGTAAGCAAAACATTATCTATAACATATTAATTGATCAGACGTGACTACTACGTGAAAATTATCTTCTCGGATGCCTCGAATTCAGGCTGAAGCACTTTTTTGCAACAAAGAAAAAGCACATAAACCAAATTTATTTCTCCCGAACATATTAATGTTTCCTTTTTGTTAAATACAATTTTATATGCTCTGTGCTAATCTTTATTTTATGTCCTTATTGACCTCTTCTAATTCCTCCCTTCCAATTTGTATTTTAGTTTTAGTTCTGTCTTTGCTTACATACTAAAATTTTGGTTTTCTTTTTATTGATTTTTATACTGTGATCCTCTGTCAGGATTGTTTCCATTTCGTTCAATGCCACTTTCAATTTCTCTTTGCTAATACTGCTATATCGTCCGTAATCTAAGCATATCTATTGTTTGTCCTTGTATGTTAGTTCCAAAATCTACTCTAGCTTTAATATTATCAATCGCCTCTTCAATATATAAGTTGAAATTTAGCGGAGATAACGTGCATCTCTGTCTCTCTCCTTCCCTAGTATTCACTTCTCTACGTTCCTGCTCAATTTCTATCATCTCCGTTAGATCTTTATACAAATTATCTTGTACAAATTACCTTCTAGCCTTATATTTCATTTCTACATTTTTAAGTATTTCGCACATCTTCCATTTTAAGTTACCGAAAACTTTTTCCAAATTAATCTTATGTAAATCTTTCCTTTTTCTATTGTTTTTTCTATTATTATTCGTAGAGTTAGAATAACCTCGCGCGTTCTTCTGTTTTATCCGAAATGGTTTTATTACCCTAATATTTCTTCTGCTCTTTTTCTTCAACTCAATGGAAAAAAACCAAATAAACATATTTATTCACAAACTATCAGCCACGATTGTACACAGGTCTTACAACTATGGCGAATTTCAATGGTGGAGAGCGACTCGGATATTGAAGCAGTTTTGTAATTTATAACATCGCCATTATGCGTCGCTACTATCGACTGCGCTTGGTAAACGCAAACTTCAAATTTCTTGTAGAGATGTCAATATATCGAAAATCGAAACAAAATATCGTGTTTGAATATTCAGAGGTGCCACAGATATGTCGAGAAATATTTTAATATATTTGTTAGTTTTTTAAATATTCATATTTACAACAAAATAATAGCTCGGTAAATATTTTTATATATAATCATATGTATAAAAATGTAAAATTATATAGAAATATATAATATTTATAGCAGAGTTTTGACTATATAGTTATATGTCACACGCAGGAGCACTCGATCACAACGCTCCTTGTGACCAGACTGTGAATTATAAAACACGATTTCAATATGTGCGTCACCCCCCACCACCGGAGTTGCAAGATCTAAAGAATGATCCCAACAAACACGGTATATAAATGTTATATATATATGTAAGTATTCAAGCATGTTACATGTAACATATATGTTAGTTGTAATTTCCCACTCATAGATGTAACATTTTTAATATTACATATATTACATTGTAGTTATATTGTCATTATATCCCAAGATAGCACTGACTTATCAATACATCAATGTGCTATTTGGTATATAATTACAATATAACTACAATGTAATATGTTATATTAAAAATGTTACATCTATGAGTGGGAAATTACAACTAACATGGATGTTACATGTAACGTACACGTTATATTATCTGTTATATTCCGTTTTATTATAGCAATGTAACAATTATATATCAGTGTTTGCTGGGATGTATATGACCGTGCTATCAGCAAATGAATAAAAAACATTGTATTCAAATGTTGAATAGACGAAGACTTTACCGCGTACAGCACATGTTGTCTTTTAAAGAAGACTGTTGAATATTAATGGTATCAGAAACAGCAAGATGATTAAATTCAGCAGGCTTGTTATTATAATAGATAATTGACAATGATAAAAATTTTGCATCGACTGTTTTATAATATATGATGATTAGTAAAAGTAGACTGGAGAAATTGGAAATGATAAAAAGAAAAAAAAACGAAGAGAATGTTGTGTCTCTAAATGTATATATTGTTATCTCAAGAACAAGATGCGTAATACAATGTAATACAATTTTTTCTCCTTGGATGTGTATATGTGTAGAGAGAAAGTATGTGTGTATATGAAAAAAAAATGTTTAAAAACATGAATCATAATTCATGGATTATCATATATAACCATTTGATATAATATATGTATTATCACATATAACCGCATTCGAATATACAACCATTCAAATTTAAGTCACTAATACATAATAAATAAATAATTCTAGTATACTCACAGATCAAAGACGAGATAATGAAAATTCTCTTCTTGTATACTATCGTGCAATCTCACTGTAACAGAAAGAATGACGAGATATAAAGTTACTTGTCACAATAATTTCTTATTGTAAATGGTTACTATATTCATAAACATATTTTGAAAGGAACATAATATTATACAATATCACTATCATTAAGTACGATTTCATTGTTTGGTGCCTCTGTTGTATATTAGTGTTTATAAATTTTCTCTTTCTTCAAAAAAAACCAAATAGTCTCTCGATAATATTAGAACTACTATTGACATAATAGGTTTGTCAAAATATCGGCATGCTGTTTCTCTTCGATGCTCTAAACAAGAATATTTTTTCTTCCATACGTAGAAACGTACATCGATGTGTTTGGCCCTCTTGTGAAACACAGAGTCAAACAATTTTTATCCGGCTTATGGTACTCTGATAGTCCATGTATATCATTGTGGATAAATCATTGATTGTGAGCAATTTATTGATGAGGGCTTTTATCCAAGTTATTTCTTTAGCTGTTTGAAACGCAACCATGTACTCCGCGTCTGTGATTGATAACGCAACATGTTTCTGCAAAATCGTTCCCGAAGCTAGTTTTAGGACATCGTTGTCGATCTTCGTGTTTCCAGGTTTCCAACATAATCTGCATCGCGATATACAAGCGTAGCTTTCTCCTTTGGTTCATACTTGAACTCGAATCTGTGGTTGATCATTCTAAAATATGTTAATATTCATTTCACAATCTTCCAATGGACTGTTAAGGATTTTTCTAAGTAACAAACAGCGAACATAATATCTAGTCTTGCCGTTAACAGATACATAAAGCTTCCGATTACCTCACAATAGAGCGTTGTCATGACATTTTCATCTTCTGTTTATGCAAGGCATAATTTTTTATATGGATCCGCAGAAATGGCCACGAGATTGACTTCTTCCATTTTGAATCGCTTCTTTTTATATAAGCCTCTTGGTGCAGAAAAATTGATCTATTGGATGTACACTCTATGTGAATACCTAAGAACATGTTTGCGTTGTGGTGCGTTATTTCAAATTCAGCTTTGAGTTCGTTAACAAGCTTGTCTATTAAATCTTGGTCTTGTACCACTATCAATCTATCGTCTATATATATATCGTCTATATATATATATATATTGTTAAAATTAATTTTTGTTTTTGGTTTTAAATATGCATGAATTTGCTTTTATTGCATACAGATCAAATTTTTGTAAGAATTCGATAAAGCGTCTGTTTCAACAACGAGAGGATTGCTTTAGACCATACAGGTTACGTTTCAATTTGCCCTGCCAGTCTCATCATCGTATCCTTCCAGTTGCATATAAAGTTTCTTCGATGTCTCTATACAAAAAAAGCCGTCGAACTATCTTATCTGCATGTTTTCGTAGAAAGTTATGGCGAGAACGGCTCCAATTGAATCAAACCAAACTACAGGGCTATGTTTTCTGATAGTCAATCCCTGATCGCTGTCTGAATCCTCACACGACATGTTTCGTCTTGTACCAACAAATGTTATCGTCGGCATCTCTTTTTATCGATTTACAGTCAATTATTGAGTTCTTTAATGTTTCCATGCGTAATTTTGAATGAGTGATTTATATTTCTTGCCCATTACTTTCTTCCACTGTACCGCTTTTTCATTTTGGATAGCTTCTTAATATAAGAGGCTCCCCAATTTCAACTAGTAATAGATCATTTTGATACTTTGCAATATCGCTCTATTTCGGAGTTGATATTCTTCATGCTGAATCCGATTTTCCTCGTTCTCAGCGTTTATTTCTCCCGCTACAGGCTGGACTTCAGCATTTGATTCATCGAGTTTATCCGCTTCCATCACATCTCTATCAATCTGGTTTTCAGGCTGTGATTTACTGTCTTTAATTGGTCTATTATCATTTTTCAGTTAAGTCTTCATTCTCGCTTGTATTGCTTTCTTTGCCGACCTATAGAATGTCATCATCCTGTTCTTTCTGCACTATTGTTTTATTTAATCTACCCATAAAAATGATATCTCCGATAATCGCGATTTTGTTTCATTGAGAATACTATATCCGATATCCTTTAGTTTCTCCGCCATAACTAATGAAGTATCGCCTGCTTTTGCATTCAGATGATAGGCATGTCTCTTTTGGCACATGCACATATACTTCTTCGCCAAAGATGTGTATATCTTTTATATGTTCGTCTTTCATTGAATTAATTAATCTGTAGTTCCAATGATATTGCTCCTTTGATGTTGTTTGTGCAAATCTATTTATCAATTCTTTCAATTCGCTATTGACGAATTCGAGTCCATTGTTCTCTTTAATTAGACATATGATCACTGGCTTTAGAATCCAGAACCCAGTTTACATCTGTCATATGTTCTAAAGACGCTGACATAAGAGCTTCACTCACTTCACCGTCCAGCTTCTTTTTTAATATATACTGTTGCCTGCTTATCCTCCTTTGTCATCATCTTTTTCTGCAAACACCCTCAAGCTCAGTGCCCAGATTCTCCGCATACATAGTATTTACTTGATTCCGATATCTTCTTTGATTTGATACCTCTATCTTTGATTTCCTATGCTGAGCTTTGGATGAGAAAGCATTTCCGTTCTTGTTCTTTCGCGTAGTATATCTAGATTCCTTGGTTATGAATCTCGCCTTCAGGTTTTCTATTGTATGCTCTCCCGCTGACACTGCTGAAATGTCTGTAACTTGCAAGTAATGTCACAAAAATCTTAGTTATTATCATAAAGTCTGCTATTGTTTCACGTATTAGTTTCAACCTGTCTGCTATATCTTCCAGTTGGACGATGTGCGTTGTAATGTCATCTGAACTCTTCACCTATATGTACTTGGCACCCCATTTTAAATAAATGGATTTTTCAAGTACGCATTCGATTGTACTTCGTTTGTACCGTTTTTAATTTTGTTTGTATCCCTAAGAGTTGCAAGTTATTAAGAGGTAAAAAAATCACCAGCATCCCACTTTGAGATATCATAATTTTCTGGGTGCCGTTCGATTCAATATCGTTTGTACCCGTTTGTATCGCTTTTCATTTCGTTTGTAACGGGGGTCGAAATAATTATTTTAATATCCCGTATTTAAACCCCCGTTGGGGTACAAACAAAATGGAAAGCGGTACAAACGGGTATAAATGATTTGGAAGCAGCGCCCGTTTACAGAATTGAAATATCTTGAAAAATAGTAACGTTACCTCTTTCGCGAATTTTAAATAACCCGTATTTCCACCTCGTTGGGGTACAAACAAAATGGAAAGCGGTACAAACGGGTACAAACGATTTGAAAGCAGCACCTGTTTACAGAATTAAAATATCTTTAAAAATAGCAAAAATACCACTTTTGCGAATTTTAAATAGCTCGTATTTCCACCCCCGTTGGGGTACAAACGAAATGAAAAGCGGTACAAATGAGTACAAACAATACTGAATTGAACGGCACCCAAAAAATTACGATATTTCAAAGTGGGGTGCTGGCAATTTTTCCACCCTTAATAACTTGCAACCGTTAGGGGTACAAACGAAATAAAAAACGGTACAAATGAGTACAAACGAAGTACAATTGAATATGTACCTGAAAAATCCATTTACTTAAAGTGGGGTGCCAAGTTCACATAGGTCATTTATTTTCATATGGAGGTATGATTATGCGTCCCAATTATCGAAGTATGCCCGATGAAACATTTGAAAATTGCTGCTTAAATTAAATAATGTGTTTACCAAATAAAATAATAAAATATACTATGTATGAAAATGAATACTTAAATAAACTACATATATTAGTAAAAATTATTTTGCATTTGAAAACCATTTAAAATACCTATTTAACTATTTTACATTTAAAATGGATTCGAAAAACTTATTTTACATTTTGTATTTTAAATATATATTTTTTTAAGTATTTATATTTAGCATTTTAAATACAATTCGAAAAACATTTTACCTAGCCTTATGTATACTAAATTTGCTGAGAGACCGTGCTACGACTTGTACGAAATTCGTTCGTTTCGCGCAGGTCTACGCCCATAAAACAGGCTCCGAGCGTATAATAGCGCACCACGTTCTCTCCACTCTGTCGGCCTATGTGCAGATCTCAGCGAATCACTACATACTTGCATTTGATTTTTGTTCATAGATTGAAATTAATTTTTGCCACATTTCTGCTGCTGTCATGCAATTTGTAATATGTAGCGTATGTATCTTCCGACAATCGTAATGATTACCTTTTGCGCTGCTTTGACTTTGTTCCATATTACAAGTTTTCATATACAGGGTGCTTCAGGAGAAAAGGTATAGGGTAAAGGTACCGATTATGAGATAGGTTCTAAATATGAGATAGCGTCTTACTGGCGACACCGTACATTTGAAATGTGTGACGTTTGCGTCATTTACTTTGTCGGATAAACAGATCCAATTGTGTATCAATGTGTGCCGGCCAGCGACAGCGAACAGACGAGAACACGCTGATTTGTCGCGAAAGCAAAAACACGAATTTTTTCGCACTAGATGCAAGATACGTGAAATTTTATAAAATTTGTTTTGAATGTTGTAAAATATTAATAAATTCGTCGCTAATATAGTCTATTTTATGATACTAGTGCACATTATAGTGTTTTATAAGTGAAAAAAATGTTTTTTGTTAAATTTTGGTCAAATGGTAAATTCTTAATAAGAGATAGCGAAGGTCTCGTAATATGAGATATCTCATATTAAGAACCATTTTTGTTGTAACGTAGATAATTGATTATTTTAAGAATAATTTATGTCTTTAGACTGCCATCAAAAAGTAAAAAGCTGGAATCTTAGCGCCATTATTAAGGCTATTGATGTTGTCCGATTTAAACAGATGGGGTATTTTAAAGCGTCGAAAAATTTTTTAAATTAAGAAATTAAAAAACTTTTTTTAAATTTTAAAATTGATTATATTTAATTATTAATTAATTAATTAATTAAAATTTTTAAATTAATTTTAAAATTTATTTAAAATTTTTTAAAAATTTAAAAATTAAAATTTTTTTTGGTTTT